GGGCCCTGCCGGGCCTCACCCTTCCCGGCGCAGCGACTCGGGAAGTAGGACATCCTGTGGAGAGCCCAGGACCCGGGAGACGCCCTGGGAGGAGGCGGCAGGGATAGGGGCGATGGGGGTCAGAGCCGTCTAGGGGTGACCAAGGTGGGACGCGGAGCCCCAGGCTGGAGGCTCAGTCTCTGTGCCCCGTGCAGCCCGGCCTCAGCCTGGAGCTCCAGCTCCCCGAATGCACCTTACCTGGGTTCCGCCCGGTCCCTGAGCCCCCGCAGAATGGCTGATGGAGGAAGCCCCTTTCTAGGTCGGAGGGACTTTGTCTACCCTTCCTCAACCCGAGGTAAGGACCCAGCCGTGCTCTGTTTCTCACGGAGATGCCCACCCACCAGGCATGCTGGTGCCCCAGGGGTGGCAGGTCACAGAGCCCCTTGCTTCTGCCAGTGCCTGCCCTAGGTGGGGGTGCAACCCCATTCCAACCCCATCCGCCAGGTTGGCCTGCCCAAACTGAGGTTGTGCTTCTCCACAGACCCTAGTGCCTCTGAGGGAGGAATCAGCCCAGCCAGGAGGGAAGAGAAGAAGGTAAGGAGGGGACCAGGGTGTGGGGGACCTGGAGTGGTCCCAAGGCTACCATCCTGGATCTGCCACCCGCCCAACTGAGGTAGCCCACTCTGTCCTCTCCCCTGCCTAGAGGAAGGCCGCCAGGCTCAAGTTTGACTTCCAGGCGCAGTCTCCCAAGTAAGTGCCCTCCTCCCCCTCCCCTTCCACCGAGGCAGTCTCTGCCATCCCAGAGCGGGATGGGGAGGGGGACTGGGCTGCAGTGGGCATCCCTAATTGGTGAGAGGAATAAGGTGTACTGGGGAGGGTCTGAGGGGAAGGAGGCTTGGGAGGGCCTCAGCTTACCATGCGGTCCTCGCCTGCAGGGAGCTGACTCTGCAGAAGGGTGACATTGTCTACATCCACAAGGAGGTGGACAAGAACTGGCTGGAGGGAGAGCACCATGGCCGCCTAGGCATCTTCCCTGCTAATTATGTGGAGGTGAGCAGGAGGGACAAGAGCAAGCAGGGATTGGGAGAGACTTGGGTTTCGTAAGGCAAAAAACTGTGAGGGGCTGGGCCGTGTCTCAGGATTGTCCTTGGCCCCCACAGGGCCTGGCCCAGTGCTCTGCATGACCCCAGGAAATGTTTGCTAAATGAGGGTGGAGCCCAGCCAAGGGGAGGACCCAGCAGCCAGCTCCTCAACCCTCCGTGTCCCAGACTTTCACCATTCAGATCCATCTTTCTAAAGCTATCTTTGGGAATCACCCTAATGGCAACTAGCAAGAGTGGGAAGTATGCAACAGTTTATAAATCACATATACACACATAACCTCTTTCAGGTGTATTACTGCCCTGGTTCCTCTGACTTCCCAGAGAGTGATAGTTTATCTCTGTTTTATAGATGGGGATGCCAAGGTTCAGTGACAAGTTATTAGGTAAAAGATCTAGAATCTGAATCCAGGTCTTTTGATTCCAGAGACAGGTTCTGGGCTTGACAGATAAAGGGCAACAGGTGACTTTTAAGATATGTCAAGTTATCCAAATTACTGGCATAAAGATGTTCGTTATAGTCTCTTACTATTGTTTTAATGTCAGTAAAATATGTAGTGATGTCTTCTCTTTCTTTCGTTTTGTTTTGTTTTGTTTTGAGAGATGGAGTCTTGCTCTCGCCCAGGCTGGAGTGCAGTGGCGGGATCTTGGTGCACTGCAACCTCCACCTCCTGGGTTCAAGTGATTCTCCTGCCTCAGCTTCCCAAGTAGCTGGGACTACAGGCATGCGCCACCACGCCCAGATAATTTTTGTAATTTTTTTTTAGTAGAGACGAGATTTCACTATATGTTGGCCAGGCTGGTCTCGAACTCCTGACATCAGGTGTTCCACCCACCTCAGCCTCCCAAAGTGCTGGGATTACAGGCGTGAGCCACCGCGCCTGGCTGATATGTTCTCTTTCATTCCTGATGTTGGCAATTTGTGTCTTCTCTTATTCTGGCTAGAGCTTTATTAATTTACTTGACCTATGGATTTTATTGATGTTTTTCTCTTGTTTTTGTTTTCAATTTCATTGATTTCTGCTTCTTTATTATTTCCTTATTTTTGCTTGCTTTAGGTTTAATTTGTTCTTTTTCTAAGTTTCTTAGGGTGAAAGTTTAGACTATTCATTTGAAGCTTATTTTTCCCTAATGTAAGAATGTCAATACTATACATTTCCCTCAGAATGCTGCTTTAGCTGCGTCTCACACGTTAATTTTTCGTCAACTCTGACTGTTTTCTCATCTCCTTGGCGACTTCCTCTTTGACCCATGGGTTGGGTTGTTGTTTAATTCAGGCTCTTGATTTGATAGATATCATTAGGCCTCCCTTGCCTGCCCAATAATCCACTTGGTCCTGAAATTTCACAAAGTATATACAGTATTTCACTCCACCAGTCATTTCTGTCTTTGTGTGAAATAGCTGCTTGATTTTTATGGGCAGAGTGAAGCAAAGAGAACATGAGGATTCTGGGCTCCTGCTGGGGTAGATGGGGAGGAGGAACCAAGACACTGGAACCCAGGGACACCCGGTTCTCGGCAGTGAGAAAAGGGTGAATCCTCAGTTTTGGAACAGTTCCCCAAGTTCTCCCTGCTGCTTGGAATGCCTCATTTTCTTCTGTGGTCCAACTTAAACTCTCTAATCGGACTGGCTTCCATCTTTTCTCTTGGCGTTTTTCATTCAGTAATGCCCACTCCACATACCCCTATGGAAAATGTTTCTTCCGGGGAGCCTTCCCAGACTCCTCCCCATCCTCCAGCTCCCCTTGGCTGTGGCCACCCCTGGCTGCCCTTAGGGCTTGTTTCTGGTGTTTATATCTTTCTCTGCCAAGGGGCAGGCCCACCTTCTCTTTGCTGTCTCACAGGAACCCCCAGTCTGTGCTATGTTGATGCCCAGGCCAAATCTTTCTCATGACCTTTCTTCATGCAGGTGCTGCCTGCAGATGAGATCCCCAAGCCCATCAAGCCCCCGACCTACCAGGTGCTGGAGTATGGAGAGGCTGTGGCCCAGTACACCTTCAAGGGGGACCTGGAGGTGGAGCTGTCCTTCCGCAAGGTGGGCCAGGCAGGAGATGGTGGGGTGGGTCGGGGCAGGCGAAGATGTAGGTAAATATGTGCACTAAAAACACATTTTTTTTTTCTTTTTGAGACAGAGTTTCGCTCTGTCGCCAGGCTGGAGTGCAGTGGCGCCATCTCGGCTCACTGCAACCTCTGCCTCCCGGGTTCAAGCAGTTCTCCCGCCTCAGCCTCCAGAGTAGCTGGGACTACAGATGCCCACCACCACGCCCGGCTAATTTTTGTATTTTTAGTAGAGATGGGGTTTCACCGTGTTGGCCAGGATGGTCTCAATCTCTCAACCTCATAATTCACCCACCTTGGCCTCCTAAAGTGTTGGGATTACAGGAGTGAGCCATCGCACCTGGCCTAAAAACACTTTTTAAAAAAAGAGTCTGATGTACCTAGCTTCACCTAGGATTTCAAAATTTTCCCCAGTCTCTTTCATTATGCTTCCTTTAGTGTAGTCTTTTTTTTTTTTTTCCCTGCATTTTTTTGAGACAGAGTCTCACTGTGTTGCCCGGGCTGGCTTTGAACTCCTGGGCTCAGGCGATCCTCCTGCCCCTGCCCCTATCCCAGCCTCCCAAGTAATTTTGGTCCATTTTTAAAAGATGATCATAAACTTCTAGAGTTATATATATTTTCAACTGCAGGTTGCAGGGGATCATACTCAGCATTTTTAAAGGTATAGACAGAAACGTTAGCGTGCGTCGCGGGCAGGAAGAGCACTTTGTCTTACTGTAGGCAGTTCTGTGTACGCACATATGTATGTATTCTGGGCTGTTACTAAAATGTTTTTAACTGTGGACTGTGGTGAAACAAGTTTGAAAAATGCTGTTCTAGAAAGCAGAGAAGTGGTCTGCCTTTGGTTGATTTGGGGAGCAGCGACTATGCTTCCAAAATCAGCCAAAGACAGACCATAGTGAATGCTACCCAGAAGAGCTGGCCCCAGGGACAGAGGGGGAAGAAGGTGGCTGGATGGAGAGAGGTAGGGGCAAGAGAGAGCAGGGGAAGGCAAGGGCTGGAGGCCACCCTCCCAGGGAGTGGTTCTACCTAATGTCAGCCAGCCTATGGCCTTGAGGACTCCCTGCCTGTCCTGGGGAGTGTGTTTTTGACACACTCATGACAGGGTCCCCCAGCGTGAGGCAGGAACAGGACCCAGGCAGGGCAGTCGTGGTAGCACCTGTCCCGTGTGCCTAAGGGGTGGACTGTTGATCTCATTCACACCTCATAGTGACAGTATGGTTATTTTCACTTAACGGAGGAGAAAACAAGGCTCAGAGAGACAGAGCAGCCTGCCTGAGGCCGCACAGCTTGACCTGGCGGAGCTGGGTTTGGATCTGCATTATTAGCCACGGGCTCACCTGTGATTGGAGCTCTGGGGAGGGACCTTGCTATGCATCCCAGATAAGGCACCGTGGGTGCATGGCACCAGGAAAGCCCCACAGACACTGACTTTCCCCCCTCAGGGAGAGCACATCTGCCTGATCCGCAAGGTGAATGAGAACTGGTACGAGGGGCGCATCACGGGCACGGGGCGCCAAGGCATATTCCCCGCCAGCTACGTACAGGTGTCTCGTGAACCCCGGCTCCGGCTCTGTGACGACGGCCCCCAGCTCCCCGCATCTCCCCGCCTGACCGCTGCCGCCCGTTCAGCCCATCACCCCAGCTCCCCCTCAGCCTCGCGCAGCCCAGCTGACCCCACCGACTGGGGAGGGCAGACCTCCCCCCGCCGCACTGGCTTCTCCTTCTCCACCCAGGAGCCTAGACCCCAGACCCAGGTGAGGTAGCCTGTCTCCACCAGAGAGCCCACCTCCTCCCCACCCACCATCCCCCAGCCCCGTGACTTGTCCACACTTGGGAATCCTTCCCGGACAGCCCTGGGACAGACGAGTGGGGTGACAGGGCAGAAGCTAGTATGGCAGCCCCACCCTGGCCTGGGGAACCTCAGCCTACCGAGCTCTGGCCCAGGGAGCTCTCGATGGAATCCCAAAGCCAGCCCGGGCTCCTGACCCTCAGTGTTCTTGGTTCATCCATCATCTTCCTGCCTCTGACATCCCTTTCTTCCTGTCAATCCTCAGAATCTTGGCACCCCTGGTCCAGCTCTGTCCCACCCTCGAGGTCCCAGCCATCCCCTGGACCTGGGGACCTCTTCTACTAACGCCTCTCAGATACACTGGACCCCGTGAGTACCATCTGAGGGCTTGATCAGACAGGGGGAGGGGTCACTGGCAGGCAGTACCCCATATTCCACCCTCCCCCAAGTCCCCACCTGTGGATTTGGGAAACTTCTACCAGGTAGCCCTTGTCCTCGAAGAGCTTATGGTGATTTGGTGCAGGGAGGAGGCATTGATCTGTGATGTTCCCAATCCCTCCTGGCAGCTGCGTGGCCTTGTGGCCTTGGTCTCCTCATTGGGTTTCTAGCCCTGAGGTCAGTGCATGTAGAATTGAAGTGTGGAACCGGTAGAATGGACAGGAAGGCACCAGGTGCTCAGAGGAGGCGAGGGTTCAGTGGCTTAGGGCCCAGAGGGCAGAAGGCAGGCCTGGGAAAGACTGCACTGAGCACAGGCAGAGTCGCTCCGAAGAGCTGGGGCAGGGGCTAGTGAGAGCGTGAAGGGACCCTGGGGCGTTCACAGGAAGTGGCAACACTTGGATTAGAGCCTCTGGGCCCGTTCTCCAGTTGCCGTGATGATGCTTCTCGTAGGTACCGGGCGATGTACCAGTACAGGCCCCAGAATGAAGACGAGCTGGAGCTGCGCGAGGGGGACAGGGTGGATGTCATGCAGCAGTGTGACGATGGCTGGTTTGTGGGTATGTGGGCAGGCCGGGAGGAGGCATCTCAGGGCCCCAGGGGATGTGGGTAGGCTGCTGCTGCCTGCCAGTGCTACTTCAGCAAAGATTCATGGCCGACCACCCCCCACTCAGCTTCCGACCGGGCTACTGGGGAGGGCCTGGCACCCGATGCTTCCCCAAAGCCAGCACTTCTGTTGGCTGCCTTCCTTCATGCCCTGAAGAGGCCGAGGCCCAGGAGGAAACTGGCACCAGTCCAGGGTCACCGATGGAGTCACCGGGGACCCAGGCCAGGGTTCCCGACCTCCAGAGCCCTGCCCCTTCCTCCTGCACACCCCTGCCTCTGGAGCAGCCCTCGGGGAAAGGACCTGGTGGAAAGGACCAGGACTCACACTTGTGTATCCTCCAACCCCTAGCTGGCTCCTCCAGCCTGGGAGGAAAAGGGAGTGGAGCAAGGTCCCAGCCCCTCAGGGCTGGCCCAAGGGCAGCTCTGACCAAGGACAAATGCAGGAAGCCTCAGGTTGGCCTTGGCCTGAATCAACGTGACCAACCTACCAGGCTTCACATGGCCTCTTTCCCCAGAGTGGGCTGGCCCTGTGCAGGTCTCATCTTCAGAGGATGGGCCGTCCCTACAGAGAAGAGAGTGGCCAGAAGCCCCCTGCCCCTCCCCAAGCAGGTTTTGAGGCCTGAGGAGCTGGGGGGCTGCTTGGGCAGCCCCTTGACCTGGCAGCCCACCCTTCCTGATCTGATCCCAGTACAGCTGCCAGCCAGTCTCCTGACCCACCCAGGACCTTAAGCACTACCCTGTGAATGGCCCCTACCTTCTGGTGGGGGAGGGAGGGAGGCGGTGCTTAGAGATGTATTCAAATTTACTCGATACACTTTTGCTTTGCAATTTTTTTTTACAACTACTAATAAAGTTTTGCAAATCTATGCAGACGAGAAGAAAAAGTACCACTTTTGTGTTATGAGCCACAAGTGCTTTGAGAGGAATGGGTGAGACCTGTGCCCTCTCTGGTATGGCAGCCACCAGCTGCATGCAGCTGTTGAAATGTAGCTCAAATGAAATAAACCAAAAATCCAGTTCCTCAGTTGCATGGGCCAGTCTCAAGTGCCCAACAGCCACACGTGGCGAGTGGTGTCCATTTTAGTTAGTGCAGGTCAGGGAAGGCTTCCTGGAGGAAATGAGGGAGCTGGGCCTGGAAGGGCAGGGGAAGGATTTGGGGAGGCCAAGAGGAAAGGGAGGTACTCAGGGCAGAGGATGAGGGTGGGGGTGGGACGAGCATGGGCTGCCCCCAAGGAAGTCAGGGTGCCAGCCTGGAAGGGGAGGCTCAGGATCATCCATTCACCCAAGGTCAGGAGTGACGTTCATTTGAGTTTATATTCCTATTTTTCTATATATAGGAATATAATAATACTTGTTACATTTCTGTATTTCTATATTTCTCCATTGCTTCTTCCTCCCAGGCTGGAAGAACCAGCTGGGGGGTGTAGGGATACACAGGTGTGAGCTCTGGGCCTTTCCACCAGGAGCTCTCCCCAAGTGCTGCTCCAGAGGCAGGGGTGTGCAGGGGAAAGGGACAGGGCTCTGAAGGTCCGCAACCCTGGCCTGGGTCCACAGTGACTCCATCGGTGACCCTGGGCTGGTGCCAGTTTCCTCCAGGGCGTCACTGTCTTCAGGGCATAAAGGAAGGCAGCCAACAGAAGTGCTGGCTTTGGGGAAGCATCGGGTGCCAGGCCCCCCAGATGCTTTGCCCGCTGGGGTTCCCCCTCCTCCTCTTCAAGACACGAGTTTCTGTGGGGCTGTAGACCAGAGGCCTGGATCTGTGTCCCAAGCTTGGTCCTAAGCATCGGGGTGCTCTCAGGCAATTCATTCAGTCTTCTCTTAGGCCTTCCCACCCATCTCTAAGTGAGGGTGCCGTATTAGACCAGGGGCGTTTCTCCCGATTTCAGTTCTATGATTCCTCCTCCTGCGTCCCCACTTTGCGGAGGAGGTGGGGAGTGACTGCGCGCTGTGTACAGTGTGATGCGCCTTTGTTAATTGCTCAGATTCTTTGATTGTTGAGTGTGGGAAGTGTAGCTTTGCCCATCTAAGCTTCTGCCGCTAGGGGGCAGGAAGGAGGAGAGCAAATCCAACTCCCTCCCTGGGCTCCCCTACAGAACTCCCCTACAGTTCTGGGCACTGCCGGCAGGGGGCAGGCCCTCACCCTTGCATCCCTGTTGAAGAAGGGAGCGGGGAACGCTCTTCCTGCCTTTCCTCTTTCAGGTGTCTCCCGGAGGACCCAGAAATTCGGAACATTCCCTGGAAATTACGTTGCCCCGGTGTGAGTGGTCTCCATGGCAACTTGGAGCCAGCCAGGATGGGGTGGGGAGCAGTGGCACTCGTGGGAGGGACATGACCCCCGCCCACATCCTCCTTCCCCAGGACCTGAGCTCCCGGCATCTGCAGACGACCCCCGCAGCCTTTCCCTCGGACCCCCCTCGAAGCCCCCTGGACTGATTCCCACCCACGACTCACAGACATTCCTCCCACAGCCCTTTCATTTCCTCCCCACCCCACTCCCCAAATACAGAGGTCCGCTTTGAAGTGGAGACCATTTCCAGGCCTTATTGAGACCAGACCCCAAGTCCCCCACCCCCATCCTGCTCCAGCTTTCCTCTAACAGGGACCAGCGCTCCGCTTTGCCCCCAGGGGGTTCCTCTAACCAGGACCAGCTTCCTAGCCTCCTAGAGACCAAAGGCCGCCCCCGCCTGCTGGGGTTCCTCCCACCACCCCAGCTTGCCGGCTGCCCACTTTGCCTTCTGGCCTCCAGCTGGGCGTGGGGGGCGGAGCAAGGCGGGGGACAGCAGCACCTTCTTAGCGATCCAGGCCTTAGCGATCCAGCTCTGGCCCCAAGGCTACCTCTTCCCAGGGGCTATCAAGTCCTGGGCCTGGCCCTGGAATATCACCCCACACTGTGGGGCCGGGCACCACTAGCCTGGCTCAAATGTTCCCCAGGGAGACTGCTGTGTGCTGCCCGCCTGCCTGCTGGCTCTCCCCCAGCCCCACGTCCCCTCTGGAAGAGAATGTAAAATAAACCTGGACACAAGGGACTTTGTCTCTGAGGCCTTTTCCTTGGGGTAGGAGATGCCTTCTCCTGTCTGGGAAGATGGGAATTCCTTCTGCTGGGGGCTGTGCTGGGAGACAGGTGGGACAGGTGTGTGTGTATGGGGAGGATGGAAAAACACCGTTACTACCTCCAAAGATCTCTGCCTTTGGGTGTCAGGCAGGCTGGGATAGCCCCCACGATTGGGCAGCTGTGTGGCAAGAAGTGCTGGGAGAATGAACAGTGCCAGGCCCTGGTAGCAGGGAGACATCAGAGATGGGGGACTGAATGTGGCCTTGTTTGCAGACTGTTTTGATTCTGGAGCTGCCACCGTGGGGTTGCTGGGCTAGATGACATTTCTAACTGTTCTGCTGTTTTCCTTCTGTGTGCTCCATTTCCACACCGAAGCCCTTGTGTGTGTTTATTCTCCTCTTTGGGCTCAGGCTTTTGAGCAGTCCTTTGTGGGAAGCTGGGAGTGGTGAGGCACAGCCAGCCAAAACTACTCTTGAACAAGGGTTTTTGTTTTGTTTTGTTTTGTTTTTGTGAGATGGGGTCTCTTTCTTTCGCCCAGGCTGGAGTGCAGTGGCCCGATCTCGGCTCACTGCAGCCTCTGCCTCCCGGTTTCAAGCAATTTTCCCACCTCAGCCTCCTGAGTAGCTAGGATTACAGGGTTGCAGCACCATGCCAGCTAGTTTTTGTAGTTTTAGTAGAGACAGGGTTTCACCATGTTGGCCAGGCTGGTCTTGAACTCCTGACATTGGGTGATCCACCCACCTCAGCCTCCCAAAGTGCTGAGATTACGGGCGTGAGCCACTGCGCCCGACCTTCAACAAGGTTTTATAGTCCTGGAGCTTGCGGGTCCCTGTGGGATGACAGTGGTGGCATAGTCCAGGCAGAGTCCAGCCACTCTGCCAAGAAAGGCAGCTCCGTGTCTCAGCTGCTGCTGAGAGGTGAGCAGGGCACCAGGGCCTCTCCGTGTGTTACCTAACGTGAGCCTCACCATGGCAGGTTATGATTCCATTTTACAGAGGGAGAGACCCAGGCTCTGAGAAATTAAGCTTTCTAGGTCACATCATTATTAAATGCTGAAGTCAGGTCTACCTCACTTCCTGAAATCTACTAAATGCCCAGGCAGCCCTCATCCAGGGGCCCTTGGAGAAGGAAGGTCATGTGTGAGGTCAGGGACTTCTCTAGGGCGGCCCAGGGTTGGGCCACTTTTATGTTCTTCCTGGCAATCCTGTCTTCTAGGCCTGTCACCTAAGGCAGGTGTGAAGAGGTGGTGGCTGGAGTGAAAGGTGGTGGTGCCCAGTTCTGTCAGGACAGAGGGGAGGGGCTCATGGTTGACAGGGCAGTGGCCTAGCCCTGGCTGGTTTCTTGAACCTGGGTGCGGCCTGACCCAGCAGGGGTTAAACAGCGGCTGGAAGAACAAGTCCTCCATCCACCTCCATCCTCACCCTGGTCTGGTTCTAAATGGGCAGGTCCAGCCCATCCTGGCCTAGAAACGACCCACTGGCCAGGTTGCCGTTCCCCCATCCCAGCTCTTATTTCATGAACTCCCTGATGCCCTCATAAAACATATCAGGGCTGAGGCCTCCTCTCCCTGGGACAGAGACCAACTCCACACCCTCTCTTTGATGGAGCGCTGGCACCTCCCGCAGCTGACAAACCCTCCAACCCTGGGCTGTCTGCACCACAGTCCTGCCTGAAAGATGCTTCTGTGCCTCGACCTGGCCTGAGTGGGGGGGGCGGGGGGTGAAGGGAGGATCAGAGGCTGCTGGGGATGGCTCACCCATGAGAGGGGAGGGCGGTGACGTGGCTTACCAGGGCCACAGAGAGGCTACGAGCAGGACATGTCCCCTTCTGTGCCAGAGTTGTGCCCTGCCTGCATCCGCTGACTGGTCTTCGTGGTGGGTTTTGTGAATTCACAACCCACCCATCAGAAAGCCCTGCCAGATGAACCTGGGGCTGTTTGTAGAGTCTGTCCAAGGTATGCAGGAGGGGCTGTCTGAGGAAATGATTGGCTTTTGTTTGGTTCACTCTCCATTCCCAGAGGCAAGCATAGTACCTGGTGCTCAGTACTCACTGTCGCTCAGTACTCACTGGTGCTCAGTACTCACTGGCGCTCAGTACTCACTGAATGAATGCTGTTGGAATGATTGCGTGGAAGAACTGAATGGATGAATTTCCCTTCCTTTGGGTCCCTTCCCAGGAGTCCCCTCCCCATTTGAGGCAGGGACTCTGTTTGACACCTCTGTGCCATCCTTGGCTTTTGCCTGTGGCCAAGCAATTTTTACAACAGAAGGGTAAGCGGCACATTATCCCCATTTTCCACATGGGGAAACTGAGGCCTGGAGGAGCTGAGGAAGTTGCTGAAGGTCACACAGCTGGTGAGACGCAGCTGTGAACTTGGGAGCTAGTGTGTGCCCCCGGGGCTGTGCTCACCCTACCTGTAGTTGCCTCTTCCCTCAAGAGGCTTCCAGTCTAGTCAGGGAGGTGGAACAGGTGCAATCAGGCCAGGTGGTCATGCCAGGAGGCTGGAAACCAGCCAGTGGGAGAGGAGTTTGCACACCCAGGACAGAGGCTGTGGGAGGAGGGGGTCTGAAGAGTGAACTTGGGGAGGCTGAGACGAAGGCACGGGCAGGTGAGGGGCGTGGGGAGGCCACTCTTCACAGAGCGAGCGTGGAGGGAATGACTCACACCTGAGGCAGGCGAGGCACAGCTGCACCCACAGGTGTGATCCCCTGAAAACACAGCAGCTTGGCAGCCAGAGGCTAAGTGGAGACCCAAGGAGAGGCGGCTCTGTGGCCCTGAGGTCCCCGGGGAGAGGGTTGTCAGGTACAACTCCTCCTCCCTAAGTTGGCACCTGGGTCCCCCCCTTGGCTGCCCTCTCCTCATCCTTACAGCCTGAGCTCCAGATGCTTGAAAGAGGACGGGGGAGAGGGCAGGAAGGGGTGTGAAGGCCTGCAGAGAGGGTGAGGGTGAGGGCCCACGGGAACGGGAAGGTACCAGCCTAGAGGTGGGAGTGTCCAGTGAACCCCCAGCCAGGAGGCTCTCTCTCCATCTCCTAGGGCCCCTGCGGGTCCCCTTTCCAGGCAGAGAAGTTCCAGGCAGAGAAGTTCTGCACTGGCGAGAAACCAGCGCTCAGGAAGGGAGTTGGCGGGAGGAGGGTGGCCTTGGTTTGGGATTTGTGGGTGTCAAGGCCGCATCTGCGCCAGCTTCCGAGCCTGGAGTAGGTGGAGAAGCCAGGCGGACCGCAGACGCACCCAGGCAGCCCACCCTGCCCAGGGCTTGGGGATGAGGAGCGGGAGAGCGCGGCCGGCGTGGGAAAGCTTTATGGGGCTGCCCCCTCGGCCGTCTGCGAACTGGGGCGCGGGGCCGACACTGGACCGGCTCCGCTGTGCCCCGGGCGGTCGGGGGCATGCGGGCACTCCGGGGAGGATGAGGGCGCCACCGGCTGGACGGCCGCAGCCTGCAGGGGACCCTGGGGACAGCCTGCCCCATCCCCCCGGCGGGCTCGGGCCAGGTGGCAGCGCCTGGGCTCGCCGCGCGGAGGCGGCGGCTTCCCGGGCCAGGGGCGGCGGCAGGGGCGGCCCCGGGATCACATGGGCGGAGGCAGGTCCCAGGGCCCCGGGCGGACTCTCCCCAGAGTCGGGCAGACCGCAGCGGGAGCGGCGGCGTCTCCTCGCCCTCTCTCCCTCCCGGGCCTGGGCGCCCAGCCCGACAGGTGAGCGGCAGCCAGGTGAGCGTGCCCACCTGCACCCCTCCGCGCGGCCCGCCATCCCCGGCGCCCGGTTCCTCTCCGCGCCCCTATCGGCGCGGGACCCTGGCCTCGTTCCCGGCCCGGCTCCTTGGAGCCTCGCATCGGCGGGGGCGCCCCCGCGGGTTGCACTCTCCCCGGCCGGCGCGCTCCTCCTCCAGCCCCCGGCCCGCAGGGTACTTTGCCCTCAGAGCGAAGGAGGCACCAGAACTGGGAGAGCCGGGCCATCCAGCTGGGCACCTCCCCGCGGCGCCCGCAGCGCGGAGTCCACTGACCGGCTCAAAGGTCTGGGAATCTCAGGGTGGCCGCCAGTCGCCAGAGCCGGCCTTGGGGACTGGGGTGGCGGCGGTGCGGGGTACAGAGGCCAGGCCTGGGCCCAAGGGGAAGGCAGCCGGGGATGGAGCGGACAGACCGCTGGTGCTCTTGATAGATTCTCGCAGCGCTTGTGTCCCGGGCAGCCCCAGGATGGGTGCTGGGCAGGGTGGTGCCCAGCCTGGTACCGCGGTTTCCTGCCTGGGTTGGCTCCTGGTTCCAGAGCTAGAGGCTCAGGAAATCCCACAAGGGTCTGTCTGCAGGGGCACTTCCTTGCCCAGCAGAGGGGCTGTGGATGGGAGGCCTGTCACCACGGCTGTCTGTCGGGCAGCATCAGGAATCTAGGGTGGGTGTGCCCAGTTTGACAGATGAACCCTGGCCTCCTTGCCCTGGCAGCAGGCCCCTGGGGGAGGTGGGGAGCCTGGTCTTGCCCATGTGAGCCACTTTGCCAAGAACGAGGTGGGCAGCTAGGAGGCCCCTGTGAAGACCCAGCCTCACCCCACCAGCCCCTCACCTGGCCAGTGACTTACACAGTCTGTACTGGTGTCAGCCTGTTCCTCCTGCTTCCTGAGCCCTCCTCTCCCTAGGCCACTCACCAGCCCTCCCCAAGAGTGGAGAGGAAGTACCGTGTGCTGTGGGTTTTGGGGACAGGAAGCAAGCGCTAGTGGGACTGAGCCCTGATGGTGGAGGAGGGGAGACGGAGGCGGTGCTGGCATCTCTTCCACTTGCCAGCCCCTGCCCCCCATGCTCCAATAAGCCCCCCACCTGGCAGCCTGGGCCGCTCCCTCCTGGGAGTCGCTCCCTGGGCTGAGGCCTAAGGAAGGGAGAACACAGAGGCATGGCTTCCCAGGGTGGGGGGAAGTGAAACAGGGGTGAGGGAGGGAGTTAACCACTTCCTCTACCCACCCCAGAGACCCTGAGTAGCTGTCCGGGAGCTG